TCTCCAAAAGCTGGCCTTGCATTTAATGCATTACCGTTTTTAGTAACTATACGGTTGGTCAACAAACACGTTTGACTGAAGGACAGGGAATGCAAAGTCCTGCGTGGAACTGGTTTATCTGAGCCTGACTGAAAACTAGGTCAATGCACATGGAGCCGTGAGGAAGTGTAGACAAAGTGTATTAACTGTCAAACATGTGTTGTTTTGACTCATCTCTGCACCTTACCTAAGTTTACATCCAAAATAAGACGGCTCGCTTAAAACATAAAGGACTACAGCCTTTTATTATGTACGTATAGCCTAGCCTGCAAGGAGTTGTCTGTCTATTTTTTCCTTCGTCGTGTTTATTTTTAATTATTTTACCTGGTGCCACTTCCACCTGGTGTCCCCTCGCGACGTCCTGCCAGTAATGCAGCAGTCGGCCGGACTCTTCCTCCTCCTGCATGGTTTCTCTATCTCCCAGGCTGCCGTTGCCCGAGTCTGACAGCTGGTCTTCCGAGAAAGACTCCAGGTCCTCCAGTGTGATCATCCCGCTGTTGTCGGGCCCGCTGCTGTCACCACCACCCCCGCCACTCATCTGGCAGCCACCTCGGTCCATTTCTATGCGGAGAACTAGCACTAAAGAAGCGAAAATACCTTAAAAAAAGAAACTCGACTCACTTGTGAATCCTCGCTGAATTTACGCTACGTTACTTGTTTTTCTTCGGACCTTGGCGTGTTTGCGTGTCCAGATTAGGGAAGTCGTTACTTTCTGGTCAACAAACCAGGCGCTACGTTGATTTCCTCGACATATGTAGCGATATTCATGCTCTCATTCATAAATCCGACTTTAACGAGCCATGTTCCTTCGACTTTATATTCGCTACAAACGAAGTAAGAGGTCCCCTCCCCCGGAGCCGAGTGAGCTTCCTTCGCTGCTGCAGCCGGAGGTGAATGCGATGTTTACAGGAGATGAGGTCGCACCACGTGATGCTGCGGGCTCCCACTACCTCCTCCTCCCCCTGCTGCCCGAAACCGTAAATACCCAAGACCCTCACCCGGGTACACACATTTGTTGATAACAAATATTCCAGAAGGGGCGAATATGGCAACAATTACACAAAGCCTAGGTCTTAAACAGCATTTAAGCGGTATTTTCCAAATTATTGTTGTTATTTTCTAATTTGCCTTTTATGCAGGTGCAAATGTGTGCATGCTTAAGCCAATAGCGCTGCAAATTATTATTATTTTTCCATTAACAATTCCTCTTCAGAATATTTTACCGATTATTTATTTAATTGGTTTGGCTATAAAATATTTGAAAATAGTAATAAATGTATACTGCATAATGGGGCAACGTCAACTTCATTCTTTATCAATTCTTGTGTTAGTACGAAAAATGCATCTCTGTTTTAGTTGATTGTTCAGTTTTGTTTAATTTTATATATATATATATCATTCGATGGATAAAATACACAAGCTTTATGGATACTAATACCAGAATACCTGAGAAAAAACTAATTAATTTGGAACATCTTTTGTAAGTTCGTTATTTTTTATTATGTCTTTTATTGTAGCAGATGGGGAACTGAAATGTACCCTTTTGAGGATAATAAACAAACTTGAACTTGTGTGCTAGAGGACAGACTAAGCAGGATTTCCTCTGATCTGTTTCGCTGCAACAGCCAACCACCATGTTGTACCCTTCAACATGCACGTAGAGAGGACATTATATAATCCTCTACAGTCTGTGGGGGATTCTCCATCTAAATACACACATGCAAACGTGCACACATACACTGATACACACACACTAAAAATACTCTACTTAGCCCCCATGCCTGGATGTAGACTTCTTCCTACACAATTGCAGACATGCAGTGGTAAGAATTCAGCTTATTGTAGGTTTTGTTATTAAAAGCTGCCTACAGACTGGCCTTTTCAGCTTTTCACCACGTCACTTAGCTCCATGCCCCTTAACCAATCATCTGTTGGCCACAGCTGGAGCATGCTCAGGGAGGCTGTCGTAGACAATGCTGTCATTTGGCACACATCCTCCTATCCTCTCTACTCTACTCTTTTTAATAATCTTAGTGGCTTTGCGGAAATTTTCAATCTTACATTCACGTCATGTTTTGCTATTTTTTCACATTACATGTCACTTGTTTTTTTAGACCCTAACTCTGAATTCATAAATTGTAGAAAACAGCCACCTTTCCTTTTATAGGTGCGACATGTTTTATAGACTCAACAATTAACATTTTATAAGTAAAAAAAAAAGGGCGAATTACTCAATTATGTATGATAATATAATAACCTTTAGCAGGCAGCCTAACTGTTTCAGACATGGCACATCAGTGTAAAGGAAACATGCACAAAGTTGTTGTTTCATTGAATTTCACTCCACATTCCAGCTAGACAAATACAGAGACCTCACTAATCTGGTGCCGAGTAATCTCATAATCTGGACCCGACACATTGCCTCATTAAACCCCACCTTTCAATTAACGAGAGAGAGAGATTTTGCCTCGTAAACAGATTGTGGGCCTGTCTCTCAAAATGCTGTCTGCTTCTCTCTGACACGCACAACCAGAAAGACATGCATATACAGCACATTAGACACACAGCAGAACACTTCATATTACTATGTTTATTGATTTAAAATAGTCAAAGTCTTTGTGAAAACAAGTCCATTTATTTTAACCTCACAATAAATGTAAGAATTATTTTACACCGTACAGAAGAAAAGGAAGAAGTTGGATAGATTTAAAGACAAACTTGTTCCTCTGGTGTCTCCACCACAGGCTAAATATGTACATTTGACCTGAGGGTGGTGCCAGAGAAAAGGTCATGGTGTTCATTTAAGTACTGGTCCGACTTTGATCAATCTATGCTTTGCTTTGTGAGCATGCTAACAACTATGTGGATTAAGAGCTATTGCAGTTAACATGCTGACATATAGCATGAAACATTAAGCATGCTAGCTTGTTAGCATCCATTACTGTAGCCTGTAAACATATTCCGATGCATTGTTTAGTATGCTAACATGGTGGGTTAATTACTGTAGGTTAGATTGATCTACACTGCCAATTTAAGATGGGATAGCATCCTGCCCCGTTTATGCAATATATGGCTGCTGCCAAAGTATGATAAACATGAGCAAGTTTTAAAATTGCACACAGGTTCAGCTGTAACACATCTTAGGACATTGCTTTAGGCTTAGTACTCTGTTGTGGTATTCGTCATTATTCAAGACTATTTTGACACCAAACAATTTAGCAATACAAAAAATAAAGGGAGTAGGCATTCCTCTGTCCACATGAGCAATATATAACTCCTCTGGGCAAACCTTATGTAATTTCTGGATATATGTCTACATCTCACCACACCCATTAGGAGCATCTGTCTCTGACCATGTTGGTGCAGGATGTTACGTTGTCCCTTTAAAACTCCCTCTTTTCTCTGAACCTCTTACATCACTATCCAAAGAAAGGCCAACAGGGTTTTCCAAGTCATCGTATATCTTCTTCTTTACCCAATGCCACATTTGACCCTGCATTATGCAATTAAACCTCCTCCTTCAAGTTATCCCCACAAGTGGCCCATCATTCTCTACACCTATAACAACTATGATTTGACCATCTTCTAAGAAATGTAAAGAATCTTTCAAATAATAATTTTCTTTTAGATTTTTTCCCTGTGTCTAAAGCCCTTACAACAATTTTAATTGTATTAATATAAAATATAACAATAAATACTTGTATTTGCCCCATAAGAAATCAATCTCCTGAAATCTCACTCCGCTCCACATTTTAGAAAATGAAGATAAAGATGTTGAAATACTTTCAATTATAACATTGAATAATTAAAATTGATATGGGTTAGTTTAATTTGTTTTGACCTGGCTTTAGTTGTTTCCTCAGTTTCTTATTAAATCATCTTCCGCAACCGTCATATGTTTTATAAACTTGAACCATATAACATGGGATGAAGCGCAATAGAGCCAGATGGGCTGCCAAACCTTTTTACTCTTATGAATGAATGTTTGGGTCATGGTGATATATCTGTTTATGTTTTCTGAAAGGTCAGGGGAATTAAAGGCCGTTATTTAACCCTTTGCTTTTGTGTTCATGTAAGCAGGCTGAGGTTTAGCAGATATAGGACAAGTGGAGAGCTCAGTGTGTCCATTTCAACAGCACAACTGAATTAATATTGTTTTTATAGTAGGTTCTTTATTCTCTTCCTATCCATTTTTATTGTAATACTTGTTGTTCCATCTGTAACTAGATGTAAGTATATCTATTATGATATATTGAAAGGGTAAATGCAGCTTATTCTACTGCTTTACTACAAGTTAGTATACAAAATATAGCCTATAAGCTTATAAAATTATGAATGTAACTGCATGCTTACCAATATATTTTGGCATACTTTGAACATCAAACTATAAATAAGCTTTCTGTTCATGTCATGACACAAACCTCATTACTACCAATCAGAACAACGAAATTGCTTCTCATCTGTTGCAGAAACTCATTTTTTAAAATTATTTCTAAGGGGGAGGCCACTTCTTCTTTCCGAAAGGCCTTTTGTCATGTTGCGTTTCTCAAGCAACAGTTCCATACTCAGCTGAAATTGAAATCGTAATGACCCAGCATCCCATTATCTGTGACCGTGAGGATGAATAGATATTGGTCAAATTGTCCCTCTGACAAAATGCTTCCATCTCTCCTCTCTTTACTAGGAAACGAAGGCAGGAGCGAGAACAAATCCAACACATGTATTGTTATTATGTGTCTTTTGTTGAAGTAGGACCTCCATTCAGGCTGTGCAAGTCTGTTGACCAATAGAGGTGGCAGTGGTGTATCTCAAAGCTTTCACAGAAGGCATGTGTGTGTTTGAGTGCATTGTCAAACTTCGTGTTAGCAAGGTGCTTGCCAATCACTCTGAATCATCACACTTTAACTTGGAATTGGCCTATTATTGATGACCTATGACCCGTGTGTTGCTCTTCCTGCTAGGTGTTGGACAAATTCGTTTCTCGTCTGGTCCAGAACCGGGTGATGCCACACAAGGATCTGCGGTCTCTCAGCAAATACCAGATCATTCTCGCCAGGGATCAGTTCCGCAAGAACCCACCGCCAAACATCAAGGCACAGACTTTCCTCTACAAATGTTTGGGTGCTATAGTCTCAAATCCAGTGTGCTTTATAGTACAATATAGTCAAATCCAGTGTGCTTTAGAGTACAATTTCTCATGATACACAGCCTTTCAGAATTGAGTTCTGCTTTTAAGCTGTAGGGAGCCCCAAAACTATAACATTTCAGTAAGAGTTATACAAATAATTAAATATAAACCATTGATAACTACAGTAGGGGAGAGAAACTATTTTTTTCTTTTATCTATTAACTCGTTGGTGGTAAAGGAGAGTGCAAAGAATTTATATTTCTTCTTGCATTCTTTTAACATTTAAGTCATATAACTAACAATCTTATTTATTGACATTTTCAGGTATTACTTGTTATTATTTGTATTAAAACTTACTTTTCTAAAAACCTTTATATTTTGTAAGTCTTCATAAAGATTGGCCCAAGGCTGTAGAAAAGAATCAATAACACAGTGAGGTTAAGACACTTCATAAATAAAACCCATCTTAATTATTGGATTTTTGATGCATTTAATATCTAGAACAATATATTAATTTAAGAACTGTTTTATAATGATCTTAGAATGTTTACAATATTTTTTAATATTTTGTTAGTTTAATCTTTATGTTTATTTTTTATAAAACCTTTTTAAAATCTGATTATTGTCGACTTGTGTGCTCTCTACAGGGTCCGCAGCAGGGAATGCTGGAGGGCGACTTTGCCCTCTGCATCAGCCTGTACCATGGCTACGAGCTGCTGATGCAGATGGGGCTCAGATCACTCTTCTTTTACATTCAGGGAATCATGGACGGAACCAGAGGTTAGTGCATTTATTTGTATTCTTATAATTGTTTATTTTTTTATTTTATATTACACAAATCCATGTCTTTCAATTTGCTTTAAACTGTATTTTCATTACTTTAAATTGTGTTGTCTTACTTTTTAAATTGATTGTTCTAACTTGTATTGTGTCACTGTAACTTCTCTGCACATCACATAGAAACCTACCTCTGCTTGTGAATCGTGATTTGTAAATGAAAAGGCCTTGAAGAACCTTTTGTTCCCTTTATTTACAGACACACTAAGCTTTCTGACCCCAGATTGATCAATGCCCTGTTGGTGTATGTACACTCCATAATGTGTAATGTCTGTGTATGATGTTCGATATGAGCACTGTCCATTCTTTGTCTGGCTTAGAGATGTCCAGGGCCAGAAATGAGCTGCAGAGGACTCCCACCTTCGTTGACCTCTACCATGAGATGGAAGCAATGTTTGTGAAGCCATCTGCTGGTATATGAGAACTCATTTATACCATATCAGACACATTTATGAACTTTTTAGGAAATGTATTTAAAGAAATACAATGGGGATGCTTTGAAGCTTTTGAAGTTGGGGGAAATAAAGTCCTTATTTAGTGTTCTACCTAAATTAGATGGAGGTCGACACGGCCCCAGTTTGGAAACAGACAGCTGTTATGGCTTGAAAGCAAACCTATTGACTGCTCTGGACAGGGTCATCATGCAAACATGTTTTAGCTATCTAAAACAAATCAATATCAGGTTAAGTGTGTGCTGAATTTAGACCGTTTCCATCCCTTTATCTCTTATTCAGACAGCCTTTTATGATGGGGAACTGAAGCCATTATCTATGTTTCTTTTGTAAGCCACCAGACTCCATTTCTTTCCGCATAACACATGGGTTGCGTGTATACTGCTGCCTCAATCGGTTAGTTTGTTCGGTTATTGTGTGACTTTGGTGAATCCAAATTCGTCAAAGTCCAATAATATAAAACAATTTAGCTACTAGCAACTTCTGTGTTCTGCCATCGCAAATTAATGTTTTTCTTTCTTACGGAGTCAGGTGGTTTTGAAGAAATATCGATAACCTCTTCAGTTCACTGTTGGAAAGGTTCTCTGACAGCAAGGTTAGGTGGTGAACATATTATAAATATAGCGTTCACTAAAACTGATATAGATATTTTCAATTTGGCTAAAACTCTTTTTGCTGATCGCTCCAGTCCCAGCTGGCCCCTTCTGTATTTTTCTCCAAACTGGGGTCGTACTGACCGCCAGCTACTGTAGATATTACATTGACTTGGATACATACCTTTTAAAAAAACCCTACTTGAAAATATCCATCCATCCCTTAATGATAAAGCTAGGGATCTATTTGACTAACATCCTCTCTGATTAATATTTCCAGGTCCAGGTGAGCCGTTCATTTACAGTCACCCAAAACTGAAGAAACTGGATGAGGTGGTTCTGCAGCATTTCAAACAGGCTGAGAGTTTGGCAGAAAGTAAAGGTGATTTCCTTGTTATATCATTGCTATGCTGTAACTCATACATGCAGTGCTGGATTTGGGTTACGCAAAATTGTATCATGTTTCATAATGGGATGTTTACAAAAATGAATATTGCCACAGTGTCCAAACAGGAGAGCTTTGTTACAGCATAATTCAACCTATTAGAGCTAATAACTTCAACATAGACTTTGGAGCTAAGGGAAACTAATTTTGATGAGGCTATGTATGTTTATACTTAGCATAGTACATTTGAGAAGATCACAGAACAAAGCATCCCAGCATCTGAATCAAACATATCTAATAAAAAAAAAATGGTTTCATGGCTACTGTCATTTTAAGCGTCCTGTTTTCCTCTGTCTTATTAATGTCCAGGGCCTCAGGAATTAAGCACGCGTGTGATGATCTTTTCCTCGTTCCGTGAGAGTGTACAGGAAATCGCCGACATGTTGAACCACCATGCTCCGCTGATACGGGTCATGACATTTATGGGCCAAGCCTCGGCAGGGAAGGGAGTCAAAGGCTTCACCCAGAAGGAACAACTGGAGGTACAGTGAATAAAACATAATATGTTGTTAAAAGTCTCAAGAAATACGTATAAAAACCTTCAAGTTAACATTTGGCTGGAAAAAAGATCCACTGCAGCGTAATCAGTTTCTCTAGTTTGACTATTTATAGGTATGTTTTTGAATAAAATGAATTTTTTTTAATGTTATTCTATAACATACTTACGACATTTCTCTGTGTTTGAATTCAACAGACACTGGAATGGCTGCCATACATGTAGTGATTGAGATTTAAGAACAATTTGGAGTGGTCTCTTAATTCTTTCCAGAGCACTATATCTATATTTTCCAATGAATACTGCTGCTTTGACATCACTGCTCGTTGCCCAGCACTACAGTCTCTCTGCAGACAGTCTGTGCCATTTCCCCTCTATAGATCCAAGAATAGTGCTTTGATGGAAAGGTCCATGTTCTGTAAACAGTACTGAAAATAGACCAGATCGTCAATATGTTATGAAAGAGTCATTTTATTTGGAACGTGTATACAGCAACCTCAATTTTAATAACTAGCACACATAAACTTTAACTCAATATGCTGATGGGTATATAGGCACATGAGTGAAGTAGGATAACCTAGGATGGAAAGAATAAAATACTTTAAAGGGGACCTATCATGCAAAATGCACTTTGTGATGTCTTTTATACATAAATAGGTGTCCCCTGTGTGTCGGGGAACTCGCGCAGCGTCAGAAAATAAAACCCTCTCTCTTTTCCTCCGTACCCAAATCTTTTAAAAACGGGTGTACAACGAGCGGATATAGATTTCCTGACGATATGACGTCAAATCGGCAGCGGACCCACAGAAAGTTGCCATCAGAAACGATGCCTGACGTGTTTTGGACGTAATCTCGTCTTTGTTTACATTAGCAAGCCTCGCTAACACTCATGTGTTTAAAAAAAACAGGAAATAAAAAAAGGAACTCACCTTGTGATAAACCCGCAAGAGAAAAAGCATTTGAGCTCCATACTGTTTCAGAAATAATCTTTGATGTGGTTTAGAACAGGATGGCGTTTTATCACAGCAGAATTTAACTTTATCTCCGGTAGAATTCTGATCAGGCATTAGCTCCGCCTCCTCTTTTTATTTTTTTCAAGCTAAGGACCCAAAATCCGCGTTTCTCTAACAGGGCTGCAAAAGAGGGGTATGAGCAGTATGAGGCATGGCTACAACGGGTGAACTGTTTGGTATTTTAAGCAAAAAACTTCACAGACATGTTTTGTATAGGTATGGCCCTACAATATATTTTTCCAATATAGCATAATAGGTCCACTTTAAATCTTTGGTCACTTGTGTTGCAGGTAATGTCCAGGTTCCGTCAAGGAGGCTTCAACACGCTGGTGTCGACCTGTGTGGGGGAAGAGGGGCTGGATATCGGAGAGGTGGACCTCATTGTCTGCTTCGATGCACAGAAGAATCCCATCCGTCTGGTGCAGAGAATGGGACGTACGGGACGCAAGAGGCAGGGAAGAATTGTGGTCATCCTGGCTGAGGGACGCGAGGACAGGGTGAGTGTTTCAAAAGCAGGACAAAATGAGCTGTGGAGTCTTGAACCAACAGTTTGATGTTCTACCAAATGCACATAACACAGATCCACAAAACCACTAATGCTACATGTTTAACTTTTATTTCCCTCAGACCTACAACCAGAGCATGAGCAACAAGCGCAGTGTGGACAAGTCCATTATCGGCAACAGGAGTGGGTTCCACATGTACCCTAACAGTCCCCGCATGCTGCCTGAGGGGGTGAACCCCATCCTGCATAAGATGCACATCACCTGCGGCCAGTTTGACCATCAGGAGAGTAACAGGCGGTCCATTAGGGGTCGACGGTCCAACTCTGAGGGGCGGGTCTCACTCATCCACCCTCAAAATCTGAGTGAGTAATACGCCGGGGCATTTTTTGGTTAAACAAAAACTGTTTTTCCTTGATTAGGGAAACTTCACATGTGTTTCTGAGTGTGTGCTTGTCTAATATGGTAGTTCGACAGGGCAGCTCGACGTCTGACGGGTTTCTTAGCAGTACTGAATATTCCCTCTGGGCGGCCACAATGAAGCTGGGGGAAGATGAAGCTCATCCTACTCTAAAACCGTCCCGTTTCTTGTCCATACCCGGCGATCTACCACCTCAGGTTTATTTCCTTTCTTCACTTAGATTGTTTCTTTTTTCCTTTGGGTGTCTGATACAATAGAATATATTTTACCTAAAGAGGCTTGTATAGCCATCCATGCCCTGAAACCTTTGTACAGAATATGTAGAGACCCTAGAAAAAATACATTAACTATGAACTATTTCACTAATACCTTAATTTTGTCATTTTATGTCCCAAAGGATGAAGTTTCCAAAAGCAGGCCGGCGTCCAGGGAGCTTTCTTTGTGGGAATGGAGACACTGGCAGCATAAAGCGCTTCCTACCCATGTTGTTGATCATTCCCTCCGCTGCAACCACTTTATTAAGGTGATGGAGCTAGTAGACGGCATGAGAGAGGAGAAAGAGGTAAGAACAGGAACATACAAGTTAAAATGATCATAATATTGCTGTGTATTTATTATTTGAGACTGAAAAGAATGTTAAAAGGCAAACATTTTTGCTACATTTCTTAAAGGACAGACAGTTATCTGTGTTAATGAAAGGGAGCCCAAATCTCCTCACCATGAAGGAGTTTCATGAGAGTAAACGATTGTAGTTTGTGTCAATGCATTCATCGTCCTGAGCTGGAAGGCAAATACCTCACATTACAAACGGGCTCCATGGTCTAATTGTTGTTTAAGTAACAAAAAAAGAGAGAAAGCTCATTCATATTCAACCACGTGTTTCCAAGCTGTTTGTCCTCTTTCTCTCAATTTTTAGTTTTATTCGAAAAACAAATCAAATAATATCTGGCTTTTTGAAAAATCACCAGGAAAAGTAATGTGATTATATACTTATTTATCTCATCGGATTTTGCTGTCTGCTGACCTGACAGCAGCTTGCTCTATGGTCTGCCCGTTGAAGCAATCTTGCTTTGCTTAGTTATATCAGCACGGTCATGAGATCTACTAGAAGTAGTCACACAACCATTGTCTAAATTTACAGAGCATCAATGGAAAATATATTTTACAGACGTTAGTGTTGCTGGTTTTTTTAAGTAAAATCAGTCAGGTAATTAACCACCATTGCATTTTTTTCGTCTCGTTTACATTTGGCCAATCCCTTCTCATTATCATTTCCAAACATCAGTTATAAGAATGTTCCAGGCCTTCCTATCTCACCATCTGCTACTTCACCAGATTGTGCCATCGATAACCACCCCCCCCCCCCCCCTGAATTTGTCCAAATCCTTGAAATCAGGTCAGAGATTATCTTAAAACAAACTATTGGCTGAACTTACTAGTGGATTCTTATTAGCTATTTTTTTCTTCCTACGTGGGTTCTCACCATACTTGGGAAGGAGAGAATTAGCCCACCTGTAAAAACAAAACTGGATTACAGGCTAGATGGCAGCTAATTTCTCACATGCCTTCATGGATGAATTCAGGTCATTGTAACACCCAAGACAAACTATAAAGATTTGATCAAAAAACAACAACAACAAGATTAATTAGTCACAGAAAGTACTATCACGCTGTACAACACAGAGTTCTTAAACCTGACCCCTAAGCAGGTGCCAGAGGGATTCTGTGCATGTCACACTGTAGTTATTTATACTGTTCAATAGGTAGGTCTAATGACTTTGTATTTGCTTTTTGGCTATATGTGCTCCATAAATCATGCCTCTTATTCTATAGTTTTTTTCCTTATGGCATTCAATGTAATAACTAACAGAGTTGCATGCTAGCATCATGACTAATCTTTGCAACCCCGTGTAAATATTCATATATAATTCATATTAAGCCAAAATCTTCTAAACAATTCTCTATCAAAGTCAATTAAAACAATATTAATGTCTGAGGTCCAAATGTGACTGAAAACAAAAAAATATATTTAATACCTTTTATAGTTAATTCAACGTTACCAGAACAAGGCTTATTTCTTTTTTGCTTTTTTTTTATTAAACAAGATTGAAATATGTCCTCTGTGTGTCGGACAGAGGCTGTGCTCTATTTTTCTGTATTTTTAGGTGATGCTTTTTCTCTGGTCATAAGTATTATAAAGGCTTCATACAGTAGCAGGCACACTCTTTGTGCAGAAAGTGATGTTCCTGTGAACACACAAGCAGCCTCTCCTGCAGCGATGGTTCACACTCATCTTGACTCTGGGTGGAAAATCGGTAAACAGCTCTTACTTGCTCGGCCTGAAGAGGCCTTCTGAACTTTCGCTACCAGAAACATCAAAGGAAGAACAAAAAAATAAAGCACCTAAAAGAACATTTCAACTTCATTTCTTTTTAGAATATGTGTCCCTCACACATCTTCCTCCCTTAATAACCTTGCTTTTCAGAAGCCATTCATTATATTTGAGGACATGCTGTGTTTTTCTTTCTGCTGCCTCTGTACGATGAGGAGACACGAGGCAGGCCTCTACTCTGATTATGTAACGTTTCTCTGAACTGTTGCATAAAGCCAGGAAGTTGAAAGTAGGTCGGGCAGTGATGACCTACATTTATAGCGCACTGCGCTGAGGAGGAATAGTCATGTTACAAAAATGTAACATGAGAATTATTATACAATACAAAATTAAGCAGTCTCAAATTGATATACAAAAATATTTCTGATTCTAAGTTATGTATAAACAAATGATCTACTTAATTACACATCCGGAGAAAGAAATGGTTTGAATTATTAGCAACGCAATCAGCATTTGTCGAATAGTTTTATTTTGAATGTCCTTCAGTTGTTTAAAGTGCCACACACTTCAATACTTGAAGTACATGAGTGCTTTATACAAAGTTTATTTCACCATTTTACATTGATTAACAAATGTGCTTTGGGTTTGTTTATTTTTGGGTCAAAAAATGGTTGCCAATTGTTGTAGTTTATACATTTTCAGGCTCAACATGGTTGCTCGTCTGGTATCACCGGCCGACATCAAAAGCAGCTTGCCCTCTTCTTCCTTCTTCCGTCCTTCAGACAACTTTTTGTATCTTTAATTGATTCAGATGGTTCTGGAGTTGTGATATGATCAGCCAGTTTATAACTACTGCTGCCAAAAAGTCTCTTACCAAAAACATTTGCATAGATCGTCATTTGATTTAGAACGGCTTGTGTTGTCGGTCAATCCACATTTTCTTATCTAAGGACAAAGAAGCTCCGGGAACTCTTCATCCTGCGCTGTAGCAAGTTTCGGACAAAGTCGTGCAGACTGATTAATACGGATGATGCATTCTTTGTGTGCGTTCATGAGCCTCACATTTGCATGATCATTGTAGTGAAATTAGATAATCAACAGAGAGGAGTTTCCACTTTGCTGCTTCCTTCATCTTTCAGTCTGCTAAAAACAGGAACCCTCTGATCCTCCTGACCCTGCATCACTCCCCTCTCTCTCCATCAGGTTTATTTCGGTCTGCGACATCTCTCCATCTAGAGACTTAATCTGATCATTAATAAATTGTGTGTCTAGGGTTAAGGTCAATCCTGTGTGAATTCACTCCTAGTCATTCATTTTTTCACAAAGAGTGTCAAGAAAGGGTATCTAAAACTCACAAGAATAAGATATTAAAATTCATCTTCAATGGAGGAACATAATAATATATACTGCCACTAAATCCTTGAATACCTAAAATCCTGTGTTCCATTTTTCATGAGGATTGTGATGTTTAAAGGACTCACTGTGGCCTCTGTCTTTGTGCAAAGTGTGTCTGAGAGATTCAGGAGACTTAAGGATTTGTATAAATTGGATTACCATTTAAAAAAAAAAAAAAAAAAAAAAAAAAAAAAAAAAAAATTTGTTTCTCAGATTTAGGGTAATACTTTCGCAATATTTTACATTATAGCTGCTGTATCAATGATGGCATGTATTGTAAAGATAAAAGGAATGATTCAAACATCTTGTAAAAACACACTTCCATTCATTGGATATAGCAAGTGGTGGAAAGCTTTTAGTCATCCCAGCCTCACCTCTCCTCGCTGGGTGTGATGATCTGTGGTCTGATTGACTGCAGGGTGCGGGGACAGTTTAATTACCAGAAAGTTAAGTTGTTCATTAAGAGCAATTTGCCTGAGTGACATCTTGGCTGTCACTCAGAGGAAAAAGCAGAGGTGTAAATAATACAGATTAATAATGGCTGAATTTCCTTTCTCTGCTTTCCAGGAACCTGTGCGTACTCATTAGTGTTATGAGTAACTTCTCCTAAGAAGACAAGGTCTGCTGTGAAAAAATTCTCAAAACTATTATGTGTAGGAGGCCTGTAGCTGAATATATTAAAAAAATATGTATCTTTAAAAAAACGACATTCTACATCTGGCATCTGCCGCCATATCTCTGCATTCATCAGACTCAGTCATTTGTAGCAAATTCAAGTAAAACAAAAGCCTTTCCAATTATCCCTTTTCCAACTTGGAAGTATATTTGTTTGATCAGATTTGGTTTTAACATATGAATCGATGCCACTAACGACATCAACACATCCCTGTCAGCTCCTGTTGATTTGATTTAATCCGAGAAACACCATTTGATATTTTTAGTTTTTTTTTAGTGTAGGACTGATGACGTATTTTCCATGGAAAGCTTCGCCTGGTTGAAGCATTTCGCCCTCATTATAAAGTGCCAAGTGTTGAAATGTTAATTATAGCTTTCGCACTCGGGCTGCGGGGTGCGGCGCCTGCGAGGTGCCCGGTGTTTGTGCCAGAGTTGTGTGTCTAATAAGAGAAATACGGGAGGTAGTTGAAAGTGTGAAGGAAGGAATAATTGTTCAGGTGCTCATTATTCTTTTATTTACTTTTCCGAATAAACATTGCAATGATGTTTGTGATTGATATAAAGCCAACATATAATTTAACAGCCTGTATAATAGCTTACTGCCACTGTGTGTCTTCTTGTGGGAATGAAAAAGTGGGTTGGGAAACAAAGAAAAAACACTGACGCACTGCATTCATGCTTTTTACATCTTAAAGTAGAAACCTGTTTGTCAAGAGTCTAAATCATTCATGTCAGTAAGTTCATGCCACATAGAGACATCAACAACACTGGTTCTGTTATTCAACATAAAGACATCTTAATTCATCAGTTTGGTCTAAAATGAAATATAAAAAAATATATATCTCAAGAACTATGAATTGCTTTGAACATTTAGGTATTGGTGCTCCCTAGTTTTTACAGACTGCTGAGTATATACAGTTAAATAATCAAGAGAGGATAAAAATAGGGCGTGACTAACTTTCAACCAGTCAGCAACAGACAGGAATGGTTTGAAGATATGTTGGAGTAACACATGGTTTAAAAAGATCATGTAAACCAAAATAAAACAACGGTTTCACAGTTGATGCTTTCACACAGAGTTGAATGGGTGATACAGCTCCTCTACGCTTATTGACCTGTTAGTGTAAAGACAAAGTAGGGCCTTACCAACAGCATATGAATCAATAGGCATGTGTTATCTGACCAAGCGATATAGATGAAGCTTTGTTGTCTGCACAAATCCAGTTTTATAACAAAGTAAATGTGGAAACAGTCTTGACCTGTTTAGTCACTGCACGATTTTATGCAGTTCCCCATTTCTAAAAACAAATGGGGCTTCTTTTTCTCTCCATTCAAATCATTTTCCATTCTATTGAGTCGGAAGCTGCACTTAAATCAGTGACATAAGCACTCCACATCTCATTGTATCGTCTTATTTTGAGGCAGAAGCACTAATATGTTGTACACACACACTTCCCTTGTCAGTCTTACATCTTGTTCTTTCTTTTCTGTTCATTGAGCATATCCATCCTTCTGGTGGTGGGTTCGATGGCCCCCCGTCAGCCATAGCAGGATGCCACTCTAGTTGAATCACTTCCAGGCCATATGGCTTGCACAGATGACAGGTGTTAGATGACTTGCCCACGTGTGTGCTTGGGCGTAAGATACAACAAGAAAGAGCGAAAAATAGATGGGGAGATGTTTTCATTTTTGGCTGATTTTTTTGTGTTGGTTAGGGTTAGGGTTACAAAACATTCTAATGTGGACAAAAGGTTGATCTTCCTCGATGTTTCAGAAAAATATGAGATATGTTACATCAGTTTTGTATATGTTCTCAAGGTGTTCCTGCAATACTGTAGCTCTTCATAGGACACTTCTTGATTAAATCCCTTAAAGGGGACCTATCATGCAAAATGCACTTTTGTACGTCTTTTATACATGAATATGTGTCCCCGGTGTTCCAGGGAACTCACCAAGTGTCAGAAAACACAACCCTCTCTATTTTCCTCCATACCCAAATCTCTAAAAAAGGGGCTGCAACGCATCTGATAAAAACTGATCCAGATTTGAACACTGTCCTGACGTCAGGACGGTGGCGCTACGGCTATTGGGCCAACTCCACCAATCAGGAGGAGACAGCCACGGCCATTGCCGTTGGAAAGCGCTGGAGACGCTGTAGTACATATGCCAGGCCAGTAGATGGTGCTGTTCTCACTGAATCTGCCCAGAGCTAGAAATTGTCAAATTGAGCAAAATGAGGCATGGCTACAATGCATGATCTGTTTGGTATTTTGAAAAAGAAAAAGTATAAATATGCCTTATATAGGTATGGTCCTACACTATATTATTCAAATATAGCATGATAGGTCCACTTTAATGTTAATGATAAGCTGTATGATTGGTGAACTGCCCACCCTGAGAGTCCTGATTACAGCCCCCTGACCTTGGAGATATTTTGTACACAACTCTTCTGTGTGTGTTTGTGTTCAGGGGGAGTGTCGTTACGAACAGGAACTCCTTCCTTACCTCCACAAAGCCAATGCTGTTGGCCACGTGAAAAAAGGACCGAAGCAGAAACAGAAGGGTTCAAAGTCCGCCACTAAAACCACCAACAGCAAAGCCAAACCGTGTCACTCGACGTTGTCTGATCTGGAATGCTTCGAAGAGGAAGAAGATTGGCAAAACACACGAGGAAAGAGTATACTTTCTTCATTTGCTGCGACAAAACAGAAACTTGCTGCTGAACATGTTACTGAGGCGCCTAATGATGGGATCACAGATCACCGAGGACCCGAGGGTGTTTGTCCTCTTCCCTCAAACAATGACTGTCCAGAAGCTGACATGGATTATGACTGTGTCATTGTTAACGAGCAGCAAATGGTCGGTGAGCCTGTAAATTCTAAAACAACTTCACGGCTGAAGCTTGAAGAAGAGGAGGATGTTGAACTTCAGGCTATGTTCTACCTTCCTAAATGGGATTCAGCCATTCCTCCATCATTTGCTAAACTCCTCTCAGGAAGAGATCAGAGTCTGAAGGTTATCCTGGCAAACGTGGCGGAACTCCTATCCCGATCTCCTCCGCCACTGATTGAAGATTTAGAGGCAGACATGGCTGCTCCATCACTTCCTCCGTCTCCTCAGCAACCTCATCAGCCATTCCACGTCAATTTTACACTAGATGTGGAAGACGACGACGATGATGATGAAGTAATGATGAGTGATGCTGATGATGCACCACTGAGGGCTAACTCAGATGAGCATCCAGTTAATAAAGAGGAAGGTAAAATGTATCATGATTGGCCTCTTGAGGATCAGCAGCAGCAGAGCGTCAGCATGGGCAGCCCCACCTGGGATGAGGTTTTTGGGGAAGCTGAAGAGAACAATAATCATGATATAGGACATAACCACAAGGAGACAGATAATGAGATTCACAATGAGAAACAAGCAGGTGAAGAAGCCAAGAAGTACAAGGAAATAGAAATGACGGATGATGCCATGACGGAGGAAAAAGAGAGCTGTTGGGTTGATGAGAGAAACCAGGAAATGCCAGACTTGACACATGGTGGTGTGTTAGATGACGCTCAGATGGACGACAGCATGGATCTGTTTGGGGACGACGAGGACTTCCTGCAGATGACCATCCCAGAAATCTCCACGCCTGGCGGCACTTCCAGGACGTCCCCGGGTGCTAGAGACATGGCTAATACATCAAAAAATACATCTAATGTTTTACACACACATACACCGACACACCTAAGTGGCCCTACACACACAGCTAAAACCCCCCGTAGATCCAATACGGATGATGTAGCACACACGAAGCCGAATACCCCAAGCAATATGGAGACAAAACACACAACAACATCAAGTAAACCTGTAACAGACAATTCAATGGCAGACCAGGACATTTCAGCTCATTGTGACTCTCCCACAGTGCAACAAAATTCCAAATCATTTGACAGCTCCCATGACTACTTCCCTGTCAACTTTGATCTTGGCTATTCCCTGGAGGACTCTGATGAAGCTGAGGAAGAGGCGGTTCCTGCTCCTTCTATGTGGACCTCTCCAAACCCCAAGGAGGCCGACACTACAGCGTCTCCACGGGCCGTCTCCAACTCCTCCACCCCCTCTTACAGCTTCCATAGACAGAAAACCCCTCTGCAGTCCAGTGAATCTAAAATATCTACACCACAAATGCTGTCGGCGTATAGAAAGACAGAAACAGCTGATTTTCTGGCATCGCCTCTGGTTTCTAGATATGGTGCTCTCCCATCTCCAATCACCTCACAAGGAGCTAGACGGACGCTCGTGTCTGGCATCACCGGGCCTCGCATCCAATCTTTATTCCCCAGTTTAAGACAGACACAACTGGAGAACTCCCCTCCTCATCCAGGTTCGTACCTACATTTGTTCATAATGGTTGTCATCCTCTTTTTGAACCTGCTGTTGTAAGATGTGCCTTTTTCTGTCTCGCTCACCTTCTCTCTCAGTGGAGTGCGTCAGTGACAGTGATGATGTCGTGGTTCATAAAAGGAGAGCTCAGAGCAAGGTCAAACCATTGTCGTCACCGGAAGTGGTGAGTAAGGCCTCTCGATATTAGAGCTGCAACTAATGATTTTCAAAAATAATTGGATTCATCTGCTGATTATTTTCTAGATACATCCTCCGGTCTTATGTCAAATTGTGAAGATGCCACTCACCAGAGCTTATGTTTTTAAATGTTTTGTATCCTAAACAAAAGTCCAACACCAACAGATGTTCTATTTACTATACACAACAATCATCAAAATTGCCTGTGATTGATTTTTTTAAGTGCACCTCTTGTTGATATACGTCTTTCCTTTTCCCTTTCATAACATTTATGACTTGAATACAAAATGATGGCCACTTAAGTTTGAATCTTTGTGTAAACATTTGAAATACAAAGTGGGTAAAAATCCAGAGTCACCCTCTGTGTTGTTGTGTTTTGGTACAAAAACAACGGACTAGACAGGAGATATCTGATTCAGATGGCTCAGGCTGCCTCTGTCCATCAATTTCAAGGTACTTGCAGTTGTCATGACAACCATTTTGCAAGCAGAAGCATGTGCAGCTCCTGAAAGTTCTTACCAAAACACATCTTGATAAATATGTATGACGTTCACATATTGTGCAGTGTTTACTGTATAACTCGTGTGTGTATAAGAGCAATGTCTCTTCTCTGCTAGTCGAAGATCTCCAGTGATGTGGACTCCCCGCTGGTAGTGAAGAGGAAACGCACAGCTGCTCTTATTACTGTGAGATTTCCATCATTAGCAGTAAATTACACCAAATGGTTCATCCTATTCAACACAGCCGATTTGATTTGACATACTTTCACTCCATGCATTACTAATGATCAATTCTTTAGTCCTACTGCTTTGCTAATATGCATCTTCCTAAGCCATTAGCAGTGTACAATACGTGACTCATTTGTTCTCCTCGTTGGTCTGCAGTCTGATGAAATGGAGGACCAAACTGTCTCCGATGATGATTTCCAGAATGACTCTGTGTTCACACACAGAAACACAGCACACGGAGCTGAGAGGGAACCAGTCCTACAGAGCAAAGCCAAGGTCTGTGTGACAACAGATGACTCTGCAGAACGCTGTGATCAGAGTCTGAATTATAACATGTATACTTTAAGTTTGTATACCTGCGTATACTGTAGAGCAGTGGTTCTCAACTGGTGGGTCGCGGACCCGTTTCGAGTGGGTCGCGGATGTGTGAGTGAAGAAAAAAAAGTTGAAAAAATTTTTTTGAATTTTTTTTTTTTTTTTTTTTGGGGAAAAACTCAAACTTTTATTTTGAAGGCCCGATTTTCTTCTCAGAGTGTACCAGAATGCGTAGTTTATGTTAGTATTTCTAAAAATCTCCTGGGGGAGAATCCCCCAGACCCCCCTGCTGGGGTTGGGTTTCAGCATGTGTGCCTTTTTATATAGTTCAGCTTTGATTCCATCATCTCATTAAACCTTTTTTAAAAGCATACTTTAGTTCTGTGAAGGGATATAAGGGATATATGCACTGTACTTCACTTTTATTAATATTGTATGCTCAAAAGCGTATATATTACAGCACGATATTTTGTTGAATAGATTTGAGTGCTTCAAAATGTTGGGTCGCGATGTATTGACCAAGTAAAAAGTGGGTCCCGAGGCTTGACCAGTTGAGAACCACTGCTGTAGAGCTCTGGTTAGTGACTCCACTTCGAGCGATAGAATTACTAACAAAGAACTGCTAACAGAGCACTTATATACTAATAAAGGACTGGCTTATCTAAAGCTAGTTGAGTAGCACTTGAAATGTTTTGGCTCTATGAAACCTGATGTACTTATATGGTTCTGTTTTCTTCAAGTTTGTGTCTTCCTGGTCGAATGTACTTATTGTAAGTCGCTTTGGATAAAAGCGTCAGCTAAATGCAATGTAATGTAATGTAAATATGTTACTTTTGTTTTAACTGATGAGTTACTAGAGCAGAAAACTCAATGCACCGTCATTATTTGAGGTTAATGAGTGTATTTTCTTCCTGCATTTTGTTTTTATACCATAAATAAGTCATGTGTTTTGGGGCTGAAAACAGTTGCGTGCTGCGTCCAAAAAGAAAACACTGAGTGTTGAGAGTGGAAAAAAAGCTGTACATGTAAAAAATTCCGAGTGAAGAGGCAGATTCAGGTAAAAACTCTTTAGTGTTAATCCATACGAGCGACCCCTTTTACATTTTTATATTGTAATTTAATAGTTGATAAGATAGAGAAAATATAAATGATATAGCTGCTCTTAAATCACACAAAATAAAGTTGTTTTGCCTCCCTCAAAACAATCATAAAACATTTCAGACACCTTCCTCTGTACATAAAATGTCAAGTCTATAAATATCTATCACAGACACCTTCAACATCCATCAGCTTTGGCATTTGTCATTTTGTTTTCCTCAGCACCCAAAATGTCGAAGGGGTCGGCAGTTCCTGGATGAAGAAGCAAAGCTGTCGGAGGAGGAGGGGTCAGACGTGTCTTCTGATGAAGAGGATGGAGAAGATCAGAACCACTCTCTGGAAGGCTTTGTGGTGGACAACACACACTGCTCTCAGGGACTGAATGGTACACCATGGATTTATCTGAAGAAATAAAAAAAAATGTTGTACCCTAGTGAAGTACATTTCAAATGTAATCAACTGAGTGTTTGAGTTGAAGATGGCTTCCTGTTTGTTTTATGACAGACTCAGAGATGCAAGGTGTCTACCTAAAGTCGGTGAGAAGCCCAGCTGTCCATGGAAAGTTTAAATTGTCCTACAAAAATCATAAGAACATGGACATATTTTCTCAGGTATACTGGATATTAACTTCTCAATGCATATATACAACTTTTCATAACAATGAAAACAATTATGATTGACTCGAGTCCATGTTCCTAACATTGGTTCACAGGTGCCCGAGATGGATGAAACGTATGCAGCGGACAGCTTTGTGGTGGGAAGTGATGAAGAGGAGGGGGAGAGCAGCGAGCAGGAGGCTGAAGACATTGAACTTATGCCCGAGGAGTCGTATGTGGAGGGGCGGAGGCAGTATGCCACCAGACGGCGGGTTTTCCTCCACAAAGCCAGAGCAGGCGCTAAGACTACACCTGGATGTCCTCCAACGACAGCTGGTGTGAAAACTAAACGCACCCGTGTCATACACATGAATGATTCAAGTGATGAGGAGCTGGAGGAAGCTATAAGGAGAAGTCTAGCAACAGAAGGGGGTGTTGCTGCCCCCTTGTGGCCACAGGCAGTACAGCCTGAGCCTAACAGGCAGCAGCAGCAGCAGAAACCTTCCTCCTCCTCATCCTCTTCAACCATAGCATCCAAAGTCTCGTTGCTGAGCAAGGCAAAGAGGAGCTCAGTGAGTGCGGAACAGCAAAATGAGAGGTAAAGAAATTCTCATCTGGTAGCACATTCAATTCAAATAGCTTTATTGGCATGACCATAATGACATGCAGTACTGCCAAAGGTTTGTACAATCACAAAATCTATACATAAATATACATTTGGAGTGTACTGTGATGTTCACAAACATTTTGAACAAGCAAGAATATCATGTTTTCTTTGCAAGGAATATAGTTGTTGAACATGAACTATAAAATGAATTATTCAATTTAAAAAAACACAGAACAATAGAAAAAGTTCAGGTTAGTTATTGAATACTGTGCAGGGAATATCGAGGAAAACATTCAACAAGCACTAGAGAATCATTTTCTTTCTCCTGCAGGTATCGCCGGAGATTAGAAAATCAGCATTTGCTCTCTGATGAACTAGACTTTGCAGAGTCAGATTTGCCGGTATCCTCCAAGAAACAACCCCAGGTACGAGCAAACATGACACACACACACACACACACACACGCACACTTATGGGTTATGCTCGGTGTTAGAAGGGAAACTTAATAATAATACATTTCATTTATATAGCACACTTTAAAAACAACGTCCTCTCAAGGTGCTTCACAATGCTATCAGGAGAAAATAAAGTTATCTAAGGAGCATATTGAATAAAATATGTTAATATAAAAAAGGTTAAGAGCATAAAAGGTTAGAATAAAAATAAAGGACAGTCAGTAAAATGCGGTGCGGAACATGTGGGTGTTGAGGCTTTTCTTAAAAACTGAGAGGGATGCAGAGGTCCGTATGTGAGAACTTGACCCATGATCCCTAAAACATACTTCAATAAAACTACATTGAGGATTCCCTGCAGGTCCAGGCCCCCCCTGCCCCCTCCTCAGAGCCGCAGACGTCCTCCGCTCAGAGTTCTTCCGTCAGTGCTCCTCCCGTCTGCATCCTGGTGGACAGCCGCTGCCTCAGTGGAGGAGCGGAGCTGATGACCAGCCTCCGTCAGCGCCACGCAGCCACCCTCCACGTCTGCTCACTGGACAGCAGCTACTTCATCGTCAGCAACCGCACAGCAGTGGAGAAGCACAGCCAATCAGATCTGGCGGCAACGCAGAACCGGAAGCGATTGGCTGAGAGAGTGAACAGCCTGCAGGGGTTGTTTGAGCGAGTTTGTCTCATAGTGGAGAAGGACCGGTCCAAGCCAGGTCAGTCAGACTGTTGATTTGATAAGCAACGTTTTGTAGATTATTAGCCTATATTTGGATTACAGGAAAATATGATAGTTCACACAATAATTTGATTTAATATGAATTAGTAATCAATCAAAGAACTACTCACATATTTAACATAACAAGTAGCGTTATCACAGTCTTACACCTAAAAGTCCTGCATTTAAAGTCTTACATGAGTAAAAGTACTCAAGTGTAGGCGTCAAGATTATACTAATAGTACCAGAAGTAAAAGCGATCAGTGTACAGAATGGTTTATTTCAGATTACTGATGCAGCTGTTAGAGATGGAGCTCATTTTAAAGACTTTATGATCTAGTGAAAGCCTCATCTATAACAATATATCATCACTAATTTGTTTATTTATATTTTTTATTGACAATCTGAATCTTTAAAGTAACTGAATCTGTCAAATAAATATAGTGCCGTAAAAAGTAGAATACCTTCCTCCGAGTACCAAAAGTATAAAGTAGCATATAATGGAAATACTCAGTTAATTGCCTCAAAATTATACTCATTATCCCAGTTCTACCACGATATATATATCTGCTGCTCATGATAATTGTCTCCTCCACAGGTGAGGCATCACGTCCGTTTCAGCGAACACGTTGCTATGACAGCACTCTGACGGCTCTGGTGAGTACGGGGGTGCGCCTGCTGTGGAGCGACGGCGCTGAGCAGAGCGCCGGCCTGCTGGCAGACCTGGCCCGGCTGGAGCAGCGGAAAGGTCAGGCCATCGCCGTGCCGCTGGAGGTCAAAGGGTCGCACCGGCAGCAGGCCCTGCAGCTGTACCTCGGCCTGCCCTCCGTCAGCTACGTCCACGCCCTCAGCCTGAGCCACAACTTCAGCTCCATCGCCCAACTCATCAACAGGTAAAGGAAGAGTGTGTACATCGTGGGCGAACATGTTCAGATGGCTTCTTTCCCTTCACTGAAAGACAGGAACAGCCTGAACAACATTATTAAAACCTGCTCTAAGGTCATCCGAGTGAAACGGAGAGACTTAAACTCCTTTTGTAACCAGCAGATTCTGCGGAAAGCAGAGAACATTCTGGCCTCTCCAGGTCATGTTCTTGCAGATTAATTTGTTCTGTTGGGCGTAGATATGCTCTACCTGCTCTTAAGACAAATTGCTTTTCAAAATCATTCATCCCCTCTGCACTCAAACTTTTAAATTCTTGATAGGTTTTTTTATTTGATTATTTATTGATTGTGATGCTATGAAGTACTTATCGTCTAAATTGGAATGATCCACATCTGTGCTCCCGGGTGTATCTGTGTGCTTTCTTCCCGTATGTTCCTGCCTGTGTACATGACATAAACTGCTCATAACCAATTGCCCCTTGCGAGATTAATACAGTTGTTGATTGATTGATTATACACAGTGTCCTCTCCCCTCCTGCAGCTCCATTGAAGCCATACAGAAGGGAGGCAGTATGAGTCGATCCAGAGCCGAGGAGATCTACCGCTTCCTGCGCTACTCCTGTGACTCCTTCATGATGAACTCATCCACAGCAGGGAAGAGCAGCTAGCAGCGGGGACAGTTACTATGCTATGTCCAGCAACTTCTCCTTCGGAAGTTGTTTATCTATAAGAGAAGACAGTCAGGATATTAAGGGAACACCAGTCACCTATCTGTATGTTATAAAATACAATGTGATCCTTGATAAATGGCACTAATGCTGTCGGACTCAGTTAAAGCACTACCACGAGGAATCATAAGAAATCTATATTTGTTTGTCACTTGAATAACTTATTATTTTGTCATAATAATGGATACATTTGTTTACAATGCTACTCTGAAATAAATAAGGTATAACCTTTCTTTAATAAACATTGATATTTTTATACAAAAAGTTTCACACCATATTTATGTGAAGGATTTGAATGAGTCTGCGTCAGTATCAAATATTAGCAGTACCTGTGATATCCATCTATAACCACTAGAGGTCAGACTTTCAAATTTTTCTAGGGTCACTTACCTAAATCAACTCATCCATTTATTTATTTTGTATTTTATTTTAACATGTTGATGCTGTACAAAAATGTTGACCTTTATTTCTCCATTCAAGAGCTACATGGTCTACATGGTATGCATGCTGCTTTGGTGCAAGATAGTTACATTAACGTCACAGAACACAAAGGCAACATCAGACGGATAAAACATCCCTTTTACAGACACACTTTTAAACAAGAAATAAATCTAGAAACAGAAAAACACCGATTATAATTAAAGAAAACATATTTAGCCTACTTATATTTCACACTTTCAAACGTATAAAGGATGACATTAAAACACCAAATTCACAGTACGTACAGTATTGTGTGTATGGACAACCCCAAGCTGTTTCAGGTCAGTCTAACATCTCATTGACGAGTTACAGCAGCAGCAGTTTAGTTTAGTACTGCAGACATAAAGATACATGTGTGATTTGTGCCGGACTGCAGTTTCAGTGTTAGACGTGTTATAGTTTACATTTTAAACCTGCTAAATGTAAAACGTTTGTGAAATGGAGCAGCTGTTAACAGGGTACAGAGGTCACGCTGCCCTGTGTGTTCACTCTGTTATATAATGACTGAAGGTTAACATTGAGAGGAACGCAAAGGGGTCCTAACCAGATTGTAAAGGCTGATGCACAACCTCAATGTCTGATTAAGACCGTAATGTTGTCACTTCATTTCATAACAGTGTGTGAATTCTCCCTTTGTTTGTCTGACAAAACTAAAAGACAACGCTATCAATAGCAAATGGTTTAGTTTTATCTTTGAAAGGAGATCCTATATATATATTTTTTTAAATATACACTATGGCTGAATAGTAGGCTTTTAACAAATGACCAGTTCGCTTCAAAAATACCACTTGTGACTCGGATGGTCTAATGTCTACACAGTGCAAAGTGTAGAGCCTTCTAAATATTGTATCTACCACCTACCGACAAGAAGCACAAGGTTTCAAAATACATTTTGGGTTTTAAAAAAAGCCACTTTTATCAAGCCATCATCTTAGGGTAACGCTGTAACATAATCGTTCATTAGTGGGAAATATACAATCTACTGTAAAGTGAGAATTTATGGAGAAAATAGTTTTTATCTGCAAATGTGCTTTATATCATACCATAAGGTGCTGTCCTTGGACACTTTACAATGTCCAGAACAAATAGACTGCATCAGATTTGGTTTAGCACAATGATTGTGTTTAAAAACATTAAACATTATTTATTTGTAGACGACTATCTACACCATGTTATTTCATAATGTAATGGGCCAATGCCTGAGCCTGTAATCATCCCAATTATAACTACAGACAGTAGCAACTCTCTGCATCTAATTCCTATGCCTTCTCATAGGAAAGCTGAACTACAGTTGTAAAGTCAAAAAAGAATACAACAATTTCTACATGTGTATGTCTGTTTGTATTTGTAACCATTAAAATAAGAATGTAGTGTTAACACTTTAGAGGAAAACAGAGAGCGGATGACTTGACATGGACATCAGGGAGAGAACAATATGGATGGCTCAAATGATACAAGAAACATTTTACATGTGTATTTAAAAAATACACTAATTTTACTTGAGTGAAATTAGCAAGAAATACAGTAAACATTTACTATTTCTTTTAATGCTGTTGATTCTTTCTAATGAGATGCCCTATTCAGTTTCTCAAAGTCAAACGTGATGTCTTTAAATGTCTTGTTTTGTCAGTCCAGAGCCCAGAGCTTTTTGTTTAATATCATATGAAAAGCTACAAATATCCACATCATGGAGGCTGAAAACAGTACTTTCTGCCATTTTTGCCTTGAAATTCCCCCCAATGAATTAGTCACTAACAGTTGCTACTCTAGCGCACAGCATTAAAGACCGTACTTATTTTACTCTAACCTTTAGAAACATCTGTATCTGCCACTGTATTTTTTGTAGTAACTTATGTAACGGTCCTAAATTACTTAAAACTAAAAAAAAGTGTAAAAAAAACCAAGGACCTTTTAAAAAAAACCATGCCATATTTACAAGTGCAGCATTAATCTTAAAATATATATATATTATTTAAATAATACATGTGGTCACTTGGCTAAAGCTCCATGGCCTAACCTAGGATCAGTTTACCTTTCTCATTATAGACACCGGTTAACAGATCATAGACCTACGTTCAACATCGTATTTCATCTTCCTGTCATCACACTTGCTGCGGACTGACGTAAAGCTCACATGCTGGTTGGCTGCGTCTGTGGCTGCAGCGGGACAGGCTGCTGCAGCGGGACAGGCTGCTGCTTCGAGTCCTCAATGCTACACTCTTGTCCCTCGCGCATGTACATCAGAAATAGAGTCACAGTGGCAAATGTGGTAGCATTGACTGGGAACGCGCGGAGCAAAGTGGACGTGAGCCCGCGTGTGAACACCCTCCACCCCTCCTTCTTTAAGCTCTGTCGGACACAGTCCATAATGCCACTGTACTGGTTGACCCCGCCCACCCCGTCCGCTTGAAGACGCGACTTGATCACATCCACGGGATAGGTGGAGATCCAGGAAGCGATGCCAGACATTCCACCGGCGAACAACAGCTTGAGGATCATGTAAGGGTCCTCCGGCTCACAGCCCAGGTAACGGGTCCACGTGTCCCAAGCGAGAAAGTACACCCCGAACCCGGGCGTCTCGCGCATCAGGGTGGTCACCATGCCGCGGTTTATCCCTCGGATCCCCTCCTTCTTGTATATTCTCACCAGGCAGTCCAGGGAGTTCTTGTACAGCTTCCGCTTAGACTTCTTCTCTCCAGTCCCTTGCAGCTGCATGCGCGTCTTGGCCAGCTCCATGGGGCAGCAGATGACACACTGGATGGTTCCTGCTGACGCTCCAGCCAGGAACTGGTTGAGAGGCGTGTCACGGCCAAGCTTGCGCATGGCGTTGCCCTGGACGCCAAACACTATGGCATTGATGAAGGTCAGGCCCATCATAGGAGAGCCGATGCCTTTGTACAGACCGGTCATCTACAGACACAAACAGGAAACACAGCAAGATTTACACACATTTTTAAATACTGGGTTGTTACTCCCTTAAACAACTCCTTCAAATGAAGCTCATAGTGTTAATAATCATAGCAGAGAAATGTGTTGAATTTGAAAAGTTTTCAATTTTGAGGCTTGTTTGTTTTTAGTTGACACTTGACAGCTCATCCGTAATACATACAACTATGAGTACCTGGCTAAATTATACCATAAGGTGCTGTCCTTGGACACTTTACAATGTCCAGAACAAATAGACTGCATCAGATTTGGTTTAGCACAATGACTGTGTTTAAAAACATTAAACATTATTTATTTGTAGACGACTATCTACACCATGTTATTTCATAATGTAATGGGCCAATGCCTGAGCCTGTAATCATCCCAATTATAACTACAGACAGTAGCAACTCTCTGCATCTAATTCCTATGCCTTCTCATAGGAAAGCTGAACTACAGTTGTAAAGTCAAAAAAGAATACAACAATTTCTACATGTGTATGTCTGTTTGTATTTGTAACCATTAAAATAAGAATGTAGTGTTAACACTTTAGAGGAAAACAGAGAGCGGATGACTTGACATGGACATCAGGGAGAGAACAATATGGATGGCTCAAATGATACAAGAAACATTTTACATGTGTATTTTAAAAATACACTAATTTTACTTGAGTGAAATTAGCAAGAAATACAGTAAACATTTACTATTTCTTTTAATGCTGTTGATTCTTTCTAATGAGATGCCCTATTCAGTTTCTCAAAGTCAAACGTGATGTCTTTAAATGTCTTGTTTTGTCAGTCCAGAGCCCAGAGCTTTTTGTTTAATATCATATGAAAAGCTACAAATATCCACATCATGGAGGCTGAAAACAGTACTTTCTTACATACAACTATGAGTACCTGGCTAAATTAAAAAAAGTAGACCGGTCATGGTTAATCTAAATATGAGTAATGCACCGATTGATTTAAATCTGTAAAATCAGTGTCATAACCCAAAATCTGCTGTCAAATGTACATGTGATGCCTATAGGTGTCATGATTTCTACTATCATAAAAGAGCTGATGATGCTTGAAGACTTCAAATGACACTTCACAACTAACCGCAGCATGCAGCTCAGAGACTACACAGTGGAGTTGCTTGAAATGACTTTTTGTAACAAGGTTAAAACAAAACGTGATATTAAAAACATTGAATTGTGGATACTACTAAATGATTGCTGACAAATTAGATTACGAGGGAACAATGGGCCAGGAACCACTATAACATTGTGGTGTAGGAGGAATACAATCTAATAATCCCTCCAAGACGGCCACAAGAAACTCACAGAGACCAAACTCTCCACTCAGCTCAAATGGCATGATGTCCCAAAGCTTTATTTAGCCCACGCAGGATAAGGTCCTCACTGGCCCTGGCTCACAGACACACCTCCCACCCCCTACCCCCTAACACCCCATGTAGGAACATGCTGGCTGCTGCATGTACTTAGAGTGAAACTGGCTACATTAAAGTGACCCTCTTTAACCTCGGCACATTGTGAAAGTTACACTCATTACTTAACACACATGAGGTATGGAGCTGCATTCTAAGAAACAAACACAACGTACCGACTCCTGCCGTATGATTGACTGGAAGCAGTGATATGTCCCACGGTACAGAGGTCTGTCCACATTTTGAACTTGAAGTCTCACCTGCGAATGATATGCTTCATGTTAGAGACATCCAAGAGTTATGAAGCCAAAAACGACAAAACGCACATTATAATACAAGGGGTACAAAAACAACAGCTAGAGCTTTTAAATATTTTAAGGGTGAAAATGGGATGCAACATGAAGGGAGAGAAAATAACCAAAATAAAGTTGTTGTAAAAACGTAATGTCTTCTGTGCTTTGTATTGCTATAGCTTAAAGACAAGACATTGGGTGAGAGGAAAAGAAAGACCTTGACGATACTTACTAGGTCACATTTCCATGGAGAGGTTGTTTATTTCTCTTTCTCATCTACAACACAGCGACACTGTTACTGTTAAAGACCCAGCAACAGCTCAGGGAGAAATGACATTCAAACAATTGTGTGCTAAATGTAACTTTCTTGCCTTTTTAAACAAATCAAGTGAATGATATATCACAGCAAATTCAATGCAATCTTATAAGTCACGGTATCCTAAAAATGCAATGTCGAAAAACCATGCACAATGTTTTATTTTACCATTTTTAGTAGCTGTATGCCAAAAGGAGTATAAGTTAGTCCACTAACTAAAGCGACTTTGTGACTTTGGGGTTAGTTGAAAACAATGACTGTTTAGGGTTAGTGAGTGCAGGAGTTACTCAGTAAAATGCCAGTAATAAAAGACTATTTCACTTATAAAGGAAGTGAGAGCACGTTCTTGGTACATAGGTATGGTTGCTGATAAATACTGCATTTTTGGGGGAAAGAAATATCGGTTTAGAATTTAAGAAATGCAACTGTAAAACAGAAAACATAATCTAAAAGGTCTTCAATTACAGTATCTGATTCCTCTTGTAAACTCACTGTATTTACAGAGTGGTCAAAATGACAACACTGAAAGTACTGGATCATGCCATTGGCTAATGTGAGTAAATAGTGATGACGATGGACACACACCCACCTTCACTGTGTCAAATGGATGTCCGACCAAAACACCAGCAGCACCTGAGAAAAGAATTGACAGGATTTAAAATCATATTAAAAAAAATGGTAATCATAATTAGAAAACAAATGGAAGTGGCTCTTCACTCAAAAGCAAATGTATAATCTGCTGGTCGCTGATGACGGCTTTACGTGCATGACCTGTCCTTGACTTGACTGAGACATAAATCTATTATACAGTAGGAAATTCTAGTCATGACAAATGATCACCTAATATTCAAATGTGTACTGTTCAACCTATATATCCTGTTGTCCATGAACTAAAAATGTGTGCAAACATATTTACTGATTTAGAAATGTTGTTTATAGACAGAGGGAAACAAAGGCTCATTATTAAACTCTGTTGTGGTGTAGAAACTTTAACATAATTATTCATGGGGATGCATCCCAATTCTAATGTCTTGAGCTTATGATTAAAAAACATATCTACCTCCAGTTATAACTATGGTGCAACCAGCTTGCCTTGGCACAGGCTTGTATGTATTAGTGAATGAATAACAAAACTGTCTACAGCAGCGTTGGAGTGAATCCATTTAAAATATGCTCAAATTATTGTACAACACTTGCAGGTGCACTTTGTTTTGACTGAGCTTAACAAACCAGTTTTTCTCATCGTGCAACTGCAGAAATGTAACGCATGCAGCACTATCCAAAGCATTTTTATCTTTAGTGGAATCTAAAAAAAGGTCATCCTGTTTCCCTTGAAGTTCATTTATTTATTTAATTCATTTGCCTGACATTTAATGGCTTTCTTTAAAATGAATGCTTCCTATTTGTGTTTATTGGAGACAAGGATATGTTGTTAATTATGTCTTCCAAATGGCTATTCTCATGCAGATTTTTTCCAGCTGTGTATTTTCAAATTCTAGCGCACTCAAGCTGGTTTCTCCAAAATGACCTACCCCACCTTTAATGTCCTCCTAGTTATTATAAAGTTTGAATGAATGAATGCAATTATCCCTGACTGCGATGCACACAAAACAGGCTGGTATTTAGACATATTTTACCAAATACAACAACATTATTTTGCAATGTATGCCTTAGGAACTGTGTCTTCGGACCCAAAACGTTCATCTCATTGTGCATTATTGCAAACGTGCATCCCATCAGGGCCTCTGCTCTGTAAAGTGGTACAATCTGGGGTCGTTTGGGAAGACCTGGCCTTGGGCAAAGACACAACAGCTGACAAGATTCCCAGGGGTTAATGGTGAGACTACCAGGAAAAACTGTCTGTGAGGTATTTATAATCAAACGGTAAGCAATGAACTCAGTCAACTTCAGGTCGTCTTCTAGTTATACTGGGAAAGATCATGACTTTCCAGTATAACTAGAAGTCATCAGAAATGGGTAAGGGGAGTGGTTGGAGTTCAAGGGATCACTTTATATTGGAAACTGGTGGGGACATTGGGGATTGGAAGATTTCTGAATGGTCTTTAACATATAGAGTTGTAGGTAATGTAAAGGTGGGTCAGATTGAGGTCAGGGTAGATAATGACCAAGATGAGGGAAGAGAGAAATGTTACTGATCAATACAACATTTTATGATTAATCCAGGGGTGGTTAGTTGATTACAATGCACACTTTTTTTATTCTATATTTAAAATTTGATGTAATGTTTTATTATGTGGAAATAAGCACCTAGCGTAAATGAAACCCATTCACAATGCAGACTGGTCTGATATATCATGATAAATAATCACGAAAAGAGATGATGCTATATACACCTGATGCACTGATACACAAAACTTGTTCCCCTTTATTTTTGGGTTAAGCTAAACTGATTTGAGCAAGCTAAATTAATATAAAACTAGTTATAACTTGAATGACAACACAGACTATAAACACCACTCCCTCTATGCGTTACAGGTATAGAATGTAACTTCAGACAGGATTTAACTACATCCGGGAATTTATATTTAGAATATAATCTTGCAAGATGTCTCTAGCCTGTTATTGTGGTATAAATGTTTCTCAGACGTGGCAGTGGGAGACAAATCCCTATCTTCACTGTGTGAGCTGTCCATGCGTTGCTTGAAGACGGGGGAAAAAAGGAAAGCTGGCTAATGCTAATGCTAGCTTTTACTTGTTAACCTGGGTAACGTGGCTAGCGAACATCAATACTGGCTAATTACTTACCTCCTATGCAGCCTGCAGCGAAGTCCAATGCCATTCCCTCAAAAATCTTACGCTTTGAAAGTGTTAAGTTACCTCTTTGACTGACAAAACGTATTATTGGAAAGATAATACTTCCCGGAAATCTGTCTTAACTTGGATTATTTACAAACTAGTGCAGCGCTGTGCAATATCCTCTCCTGGGTGTCAGACTGATGCTGCCGAGCAGAGTGAAGATTTCTCCCGGTTTATTGATAACCACACGGACTCGGAGCCTGGTTAAAACTGTGACAGATGTATTTTGCTGATGTGTCCTCACGCTCACTACTAGAAGTGCCCAAAACCTTTCTATTTCTGTACCGCGGGAGGGGGAGGAGGAGGCGGGGGTTCAGAGTGAAGAAGAGTTAAGCGTGTCTGCCCTTTTGTAAGGCAGTCCAATCAGGTTAGCAGGACGCAGACAACTCCCCAGTGGGTGCTGTCCGCCCCCCCCTCCCATTGGCTGACGCCGGGCGGGCAGAGGAGAGTTTAAAACTCTAGAGATACTCCACAGCGTCAAAATCAATAGTGTTATCATGGTGGTCGTCATCATGCGTATGAGTGTCTAACTAGGATATTGAAACAGAGACTACAGAGCATTGTGCCAAATTCAGGACACAAAAACAGCTGTGCGGTGTGGTGAAATGAAATGGAATAAAACAGCCCTGCAACCAACCAACACGTGGTGGAAGTACATATGAAAAGTATTGCTCATACTTGTAGCCTAATTGTTTGTTTGTAGCCTTTATTTAACCAGGTGAAAAATCCCATTGAGATCAACGATCTCTTTTTCAAGGGAGACCTGCAGTACATTGGTTACACATAAAAACAACAGAAAACAAATAACTTGAGTATATCTGTTACATGTTTTCTTAATGCTGCTACCAGAGCTGCAAAAGTACTCAGATCTATGTATATTTTCCACATGTATATATATATTTTTATAGCCGGTTTCTCAAACTTACCTACCCTACCTTTAACTTTTTACATTTTTAATGCTATTTTATTTCCATTTCTGAAATATTTTGGACTGTTTATTTCTCTCATGTACATTGCCTTGCCTATACGCAAAAATGTCCCAAAATTGGAATCAATAAAGTACCTATCTATCTATCTATCTATCTATCTATCTTGTTGTACTTAAGTATAAGTATAAGTACCAGAGCGTAGGAATACTCTGTTACAAGTTAAAGTCCTGCATTCAAAATGTTACTCAAGTAAAAGGAGAAAAGTATTAGCATCAAAATATACCTAAAGTACCAAAAGTATTTATTTTGCAGATTGGTGCATTCCAGAAACATATTGATATCAAAAGTAAAAGTATGTATTATACAAATTGATCCATTCCAGAAACATAATTATATATATTATATGTTTTGCTGACAGTTATTGATGCATTAAAGTGTTATCAAAGCTGGTAAAGGTGCAGCTAGTTTTAATTACTTTGTATACTGCAGGGTAGCTTGTGAATGTTCTCCAGGTGTAACTAAAGTCTTATTTAAGTGTTGATATATTTCACATTATGAATCAAAATCTACAAAGTAACTAAAGGTATTAAATCAATGTAGTGGAGTAAAAGTATAAAATGGAAATACTCAAGTAAAGTACAAGTACCTCAAAATTGTAATTAAGTGCAGTACTTGAGTAAATGTACTTTGATACTTTACACTTCTGGCTGCTACTTATAATTATGTTTATAATTATAACTTTATTTAATATGTTGGTCTACTCATTTTATTTTGCCTGTTTATCTAACTGTCCCCTTTGCTTGTACTCCGTTACATCTTGGAAGACATTATTGTGCTACATTTATTTGACAACAGCGTTTGCAGGAACTTTTAGCTAAGTTTTAAAGCATTGAGAACAGATGTAAAAGTACCTACACTTAACTCAGGTATTACTAGAGTGCCAAGCTTACGTGGTGAAGGAGCATAATGGAAAACATTACAACTGTTTCTGTCTGAATATGGAAACATTGTTTCTATAACGGTATGTTTTGTTTTGTTTAAGTACAGTTTAATTTTTGATCTGGGCAGAAGTGAAACTCTGCTTAGACTAACAATTAAACTATACTTGAACCAAATGAAACTATTTATCTTCCAAAAAAAATGAGTTGCCTTGAGTCATTCCCGTTTGCTGATAAAAATAGAGTTGCTTTCATTCCTTTGAGTAACACTGATATCCCATTTCCTGTTATATATGCTCTGACTCTTCAGAGATTAACTTCCCATAATATATCTCTTCATTACCATACTGACACTATCTCTTAACACCATGTAGAACACAGTGGAAGTGACTGTTCAAACGCTTTTTCTCCAAAGTAGAATACTTTTCATTCAAACTGGATGTGTAAATGTGTTATAGTAAGAAATTGCCACAATGTTCCCTTATACTTCGATTTAATTTTCATTCAACCTGATCTGAATTCAGGGCAGAGAGTAAAGCAGCGCTTCCAACACAAACACTTCATGGAGATGGATGTGTACATTTGGTGCAGAGTGAAGCCAACAAGTTGCATGACAATAAGCATGACGTCAAAGGCAATGCCATGCTTAGTTTAACACAGATAATTACACCATTGCTTCAGTAATTTACATGTTTACATTTTCTCCAGGTCTGATGCAAACTGAAAGAGAAAACGTTTGTATTCCTGTTACAAATTACAATAATGTGGAATGGAGAAAGATACTTATTTCCTCGTGTATAAAGTTTAGTGACATGATGAAGCTTGACATCTCATCTCTTCAAGCATGCTAGAAGTTAAAATTTAGAGGTCTGGGAGTCATGAACAGCTTGACCTCCTCCTCTGTGACTTGTTTGCGTCGCTGCTGATGCTGCTCAATCATTGGCTGCAGAGTCTCAATCAAAAGCTTCTTCAGTTCTCCTGTTAAGAGAGCTCCACTTGCGTAATCCTGTAGAGAAAAGATAGAAAGAGTGGATGTGAGGAATGTGAAAAAAGGAAGTTGAAGAGGACGATCAGTGAGCCGAGAGGAATGGAAAACAAAAACCAAGATAAAGTGTTCAAGGGTGGATAGAGAAAGCAAAACAAGAGTTCCCGTAAGAATAAGGAAAACAAAATAGAGAAAAGGGTCTGATAAGCAAAATAACATATTATATATTTCCTCTTTTCTCCAAACTCTCACCTGTCGGATCTTTTCCAGCTGTTCATCATCCTCCAGGAAGAATGTCAAGTACATGAAGGCAACGTCGACGTCTGGGTTTCCTCCATACTTCCTGTGCTCTTCCACTGTGTCCTTTCCTCCCGAAAACGCATGTTTGTTGACCTGTGAGACGTGGATACACAGGTCATTAAGCAATCATAAGCGATATGAAACGGACTGATAACTATTCAGAGAAATAACTAGTATGGGCAGCACCTTGTTTTTGATCTGCTTGGGTGTGTCAGTGAGGAAGATGGAGGTGTTGGCGTCACTGGCGCTCATCTTGGTCTGTGCCCCCTGCAGGGCGGGGAAGAAGGTGGAGTGCAGCAGGGCTGGTTTGGGATAGCCGATCCTTGGAGCTACATCACGGGTCATCCTGAAGTAGGGATCCTGGGGGAGCAAGAAAATAAATATCAATACATGTGACTGTGCAATATTAGTATGTGGTGTTGTAGACTATTAAAGGTCCCCTATTATACTGTTTTTATACGGTTACCTTGGTTGGTTATTGGTTAATGGTTACACAAGCCAAAAAATCGTAATGACATCATAAAGTGGCCAAAATCTGATCAGCTCATTTTCAGACAGGTTTTTATATAAATGGATCAGGACAAAAAGTGAGCAAATCTTTTTTCCTGAAACTTTCAGAATCTCTTTACACAGAGGGGACACATGTTTATGTATAAAAGACATGAAAAAGTGGATTTTGCATAATAGGTGACCTTTAATGCAATGGTGTCCTGACCTGGTCTATGGCGCAGGGGATGAGACACTGAATGTCCTTTCTGCCTTTGAAGATCTGTGGGAAAGAGCTACTGAAGGACGGCGCTGCCTGGATGGCTGGGAAGCTGATCTTTCCTGGATGGAGAGAAAATAAGACACGATCAATCACCAACATGGTATTCACGTGATTTCAATTCAGGACCAGGAGATGATGTAACAAAACCACAAACCCAGGATGACACAACAGGCATATGAAAACAAGAGTAATTTGTCATTGTGTTGCTTCTTCTTTTAAAAAGGAGAAGGAGAATTGATTGCTCAAAGAATGACTTTCTATTTGATCCAGTTTTTAGTTGTCTTACCAATGCAGTCACTGTCGGTAAAGCCAAATATTCCTTTGACCTGGTTGAACGTCACATGCTTCTGGACCTTTACCACATTTCTGTAGAATTCAGGGGATGCACTGCAGAAAACAAAATGGAATTAACACATTTAGAAACAACTCTTCACTAAAATTCCATTCCATTAACAGATACTTTAAAAGCAGAATTGTCCTTGTATATATGGCAGGAACTTATATCAGGGTTCTTACACCTTTTCCAAAGTCAAATTCAAGCACTTTACAAGCATTTTCAAGGTGCATTTTCAAGCTTTTCAAGCATCTTACAGCTGTTGTAAATTACATATTTATATACACATTATACATTATACATTATACATTATACTCAAATGATTATTTCCCTACCTTACATTAAATCAGATGTTCTTTATGCTATAAACAACCAAATGTGTGTTTCGTAATAGCATTCTACATGAGGATGAAAAATTAAAAATGTTAGAGAAGAAAACTAAGTTTAATATTTCAAAATGAGACCCATCTGTACGTAGACTGGGCATCCCATATAACCTGGCTGAGCCAATATAAAACAATCAGCCAAATAACTTTTCAATACATTATTGATTACTATTTTTGAGGTACTTTTAGGTTGGCAGTAAACATAAGTCAGAGGTAAATGGTGTACTTTTACTCCACTACATGTATTTAATACCTTTAGTTACTTTACAGATGTGGATGAATGATGTGAAATATAATCAAGTGTTAAATGAGACTTTAGTTCCACCTGGAGTAAATTCACAAGCTACTCTGTAGTATACAAAGTCATTCAAACTAGCTGCACCTTTACCAGCTTTGATAACACTTTAATGATCAATCATTATAAAACATATCATATACAATTATGAGGGATGCTCCGATCGCCAATTTTGGGGCCGATCGCCGGAATCAGTATCGGCCGATACCGATCGCCGATCCGATCGAGTGGGCGGGGCCTATGGGGATCTTCCATTTAAAGTGATGTTTAAAACTCAGTTAATGGGGCTCATTCACTGGCGCTTCCACAAACCAACCAACCAACCAACATAATTATTACATTCAAATGAAGTACATTATTCAAGTTTA